AAAAGAAGGAAAAAGGGAAGGAAAGGAAGATAAAAGAAGAAAGGGAAGATAAAAGAAGGAAAAGGGAAGGAAAGGAAGATAAAAGAAGGAGGAAGGGAAAGAAAGGAAGATAAAAGAAGGAAAAAGGGAAGGAAAGGAAGATAAAAGAAGGAGGAAGGAAAGGAAAGGAAGATAAAAGAAGAAAGGGAAGGAAGATAAAAGGAGGAAGGGAAGGAAAGGAAGATAAAAGAAGGAGGAAGGGAAGGAAAGGAAGATAAAAGAAAAAGGGAAGGAAAGGAAGATAAAAGAAGGAGGAAGGGAAAGAAAGGAAGATAAAAGAAGGAAAAAGGGAAGGAAAGGAAGATAAAAGAAGGAGGAAGGGAAGGAAAGGAAGATAAAAGAAGAAAGGGAAGGAAGATAAAAGAAGGAGGAAGGGAAGGAAAGGAAGATAAAAGAAGAAAGGGAAGGAAGATAAAAGGGAAGGAAAGGAAGATAAAAGGAGGAAGGGAAGGAAGATAAAAGAAGGGGAAGGGGAAAAGAAAGGAAAAAGGAGAGGAACGGGAGCCCCTCAGTCTCACCTGTAGTGGGTGGCCCTCTTGGCCCCCTGGGTCAGCAACATCCTGGCTCTTGGAGGGGCCCCCGGGCCCCAGACCAGCTGATCCATTTTGCTGGCAAGCAGGGAGCACGCTCAGCTTATAGCACTCCTGGATGTCTGGGGGGGGACAGACCGAAAGGCGCCTTGAGAGTCCAGCTCAGGAGACCCTCCTGCCTTGCCCCCTGGCAGAGGAGCCCCTTCCCCCCCCCAAAGAACCTCTAAGCATCCTGGGACGTCTCCCGATCAGCTTTTCCTGGGAACTTTTCCAGGCCAGCAGCAAGCAAGGCCCCTAGGCTGAGCCTCCCACCCCCCCAATGCACCTTGTTCTCCCTCCCCAGGGTGGGAAGAGCCGACCTCCCCCAAATGCCATTCCCAGAGGTCACCGCTCCTCCCTGCAGCCCCTCAGCAGAATCCAGAGTGGTCGAAGGGAGAGCTGGCTCCCGGCCATCCCTGCAAGGGCCACGGGGCATCCTCCTGGCTGAGGGAACCAGGCAGGAAGAGCCAGGGGGTGGGGGGGTCTCACCCGCAGAGCTAAAAAGGAGCTCTACCCCGCATGGAGCCCGGAGCTTAGCCAGCAGAGGGAGCAATCGTGGCCCCCCCTGAGAAGGCTCTCCGGGGCCCCCAGGCTCAGCTGCCCAGAGAATGTCCTCTGTAGAGACGGCTATCTTTGTGGGCGGCCACCAACCCCGCCAGGCAGCGGCTCTGGTTTAAGGGAGCCTATGCACAGGTGCACCCCCAGGAGGGGCACGGCCTGCATGCCCGGCTGTTGCCACCCCCCCCCCCCCTTACCCAGCAGGGCCTGGAAAAGCTCGCTCTGAAATATACGGGTCACTTTCTCGATCGAGGCTCGCAGAGGCTGCTCGGCCGGGAACTGCAGAATGCCCCGATAGCGGGCCAGGATCGCCACGGCTCGCTGGGTATCTGCAAGGCAAGAACAAAGCTTGAGGGAGACCCGGGACAGAGGGGGGGGGGCTCTATCCAGCAACACCCCCCCTCCCCAGCCAGGATACATGGCACAGGCAGGTTCCTGCAGCTGGCAGAGGCCACTTCCTTGTCTCTCCACCTTTCCTAACAGGGTTCAGAACCCAGGATCCTTATTCACACAATCTGGGCAAAGGAGGACTGTTTTGTCCCCTGGACAGCCCCAAAGGGCAGTGCTGGCAGTCCCAGGGGTCCCAGCTAGAGGGGGCTGGTCTGCATGGGAGGTTTGCCTAACCAGGACCGGTTCTCCACCTGGAAGGAATCTCTTTTGGAGGGAGGGACCAGAGGTGGGTTCCTACCAGTTCGCCCCTATTCGGTAGAACCGGTTCGTCAAATCTACCGAACTGGTTAGAAGAGGTTCCACCAGTAGACCTGAAAATTTTTGAAACCCACCACTGGGAGGGACCCCAAGTTCTCGGGGTGGTAGTGGTGAGGGGGATTGAAGGTGCTGCCAGCTTCAGCTCGGCTTCCAGAAGGGCAGCCTTGCATGGATGGGAAGACTCCTGGCCTTCCTCATCCTCGCTTTCTTCCCCCCATGCAACCCCCCCTCTCAGCATTTCATCCGGAGAAGGGCCAGGACCAGGACGATGCCCAGACCTGCCCCACCGCCTGCTCTCCCTGGCTAGCAAGAAGACCACCACCCCCTTCCCTCTCTGAAGTCCAGAGGGAGCCCAGAATCTCAATCTGGGAAGGGTCCACCTGACCCCTCACCCAAAGGGCCTCTGTATGCTCTCCGTGCACCCCTAGGCCTACAAGACCCCCAGCAATGCCCTAACCTGAGGGCTCTGCAAATGGGCCCCCCAAAAAGTCATGGAAATAGGCAGCTGTTTCCTCTTTCAGGTCCATCCCTTGGAGACCCTCTTGGCTCAGCACCACCTTCAGGGCTCGAGGTTAGGAGGCCTCCCAGGGCAGAAGGAAAAGGTGAGCAGCTTTTCCAAAGAAACGTGGCATTCATGAGGACTAGAAGCACAACTAGTCCTCATGAATGGCACGTTAGTAGGGGAGATCGAGGCCTGACTGCAGACCCTCTAGTAGGGGCAACCTCGGGGGGAAGGGGCGGGAAAGGAGCAAAGAATCCGGCGGTGGAAGTCCACACACGCGAGCGGGAGACGGGGGTCGCCAGGAGCCTCTCGGGGCCGGCACGGGGGCTCCCCGACTCCCCTCCCAGCCCCGCTCCCGAAGCTCCGGGCGCCGCCTGGACGACTTGAGCGCCTCCGGAACTCCTGCTGGGAAGTCCCCGGCCCCGCTTCCCTCTCCTCCACCCTATCCGGAAAAGTGGAGAAAGTGGAGAAAGTTCCTGCCCAGCCGGTCCGAGTCCGGCGCCCGGAAAGGCCGCTGCTTCTGGGCCCCTGCAAGAGGGGGGGAAAGCGGGGGTCCCAGCGGCCCAGAAGCTCCTTCCGAGCAGCCCCGGATCGCGCCGGCCCCGCGGGTTGCGCCGCAGCGCTTCAGCCCGCCCGACCCCCGACCCCCACCTAGGGCCGGCGCCCCTTACCCTCGCGGCTGCTCATCGGGCCGGGCTGCGCGTCCTCGGGAGGAAGGCGGGCGAGGGGCGAGGGGCGAGGGTTGGGCCGGCCCGCCCTGGCCGGAGGAAGGGCGGGAAGAGCGGCGGCCGAAGGGGCCGCCTCCAACTTTCGGAGCGGGCGGACTGGCCGGCGGCCGACCGGGAAGCGGCTGCCAGGCACTCCCCCTCGCGATCTTGAGGACTAGAAACGCTGCACTCGGGCCGCAGCAGACAACCGTCCCCGGGGGGGGGGGGGAGATCGGACACCCAAAGCCGCCCGAAGCCCCTCGGGGGGGCGAGGCTCCGGAGCGCTGGCGGCGAGGGGTCTGGGCTGCGCCTCCTCGGGCGAGCGTCCGACGACCCCTCCCCAAACTTTCCCCCTTGGGCGACTTGGGCTTCCTTCGGGGCTCCCGGCTGCGAGTGCAGCCTTTGGCCCAGCCCGTGGGCTCCACAGCCGGCCTGCCAGCGTTCTTCACGTGTCTCGGCGCGGGCGGAGACACGGGTCTGGGTTGTACGTGAGGACGGCTTCTAGAGGGAAGCCGCGTAGCCGAAAGACGCGTTTCTGGCTTCCCGCGCCCGCTTTTTCCCAGCTTGCGGTTCCGTCCCTTGCAAAGTTTGAACGACGGGGTTTTCTCCTTCCTCTCCGCCCTGGAAGAGTCAACTGAAGTTGGACCCAACTTTTCCGCCGTTTTATTTATTTTATTTTATTTTTATTTTATTTTAAAGACTTATATACCGCTTCATAGGGCTTTCAGCCCTCTCTAAGCGGTTTACAGAGTCAGCATATCGCCCCCACAGTCTGGGTCCTCATTTTACCCANATTTGAACAGCCGAACTGCAGTAATCTGAAGTAGCCTGCAGTGCTGCGTTTAACCACTGCGCCACCTCGGCTCTGATTTCCAATAATAGTCAATGTATTAATGTATATTCAGTTGAAAACTGATTTTATATATAACTGAAAGCGGTGATGCACAAATGTTTGTGACTAAACGACATGCTAAATAGATATGTAATTGATATTTTTATGTTATATGTATGTTTCTGCTTGTTTTAAAATAGAAAAACCTTTAAAAAAAAGAATAATAGAATGATACTGAATATAACATAAAGATGTATTATTATTGGATAGATTGAAGATGATGTAATGAATTGTTATAAATGATCCCAATATTTAATATATCTCGTTGAAAATGAAGGAATAATAGTGACAGTCAAACAAACGAGGTATAATGGTAATAATGGATACAAACATTTGATTTGATAATACGTGATTTCATATAAATTGCAAGTGAGGATTATGGAAAGGACGCACAAAAGCCTTGTAACCAATCGACACGCTGGATGTGATGGAAGATGGTTTTATGTCTTGTGTCTGTCTAAAAATAAAAAGTTTACAAATAAAAGAATTTGAGGGAGCGCCCCCAGATGAAATTAGTGATTCAGAGAATTCTAGATTACGCAGAAACGGACAAGTTAACATTAAGATTGAAGGTCAAAGAAGAATCTGAATACTATGAAATTTGGGATAACTGGTATAAGTGGTTGCATAACAGGAATAAAGTTACTTCAGCCAAGAAATAGAGAAATGTATAGAACTATAGATGAATGTATATAAATATAGAAGCGATATAAGATTGATCTATGCAGGTATGTTGACAGAACAATGTTAATGTGATGATTGTAAGATGTTATAGAGCAGTGTTTCTCAACCTTGGCGACTTTAAGCCCTGTGGACTTCAACTCCCAGAATCCCCCAGCCGTTGGCTGGGGAATTCTGGGAGTTGAAGTCCACAGGGCTTAAAGCCGCCAAGGTTGAGAAACACTGTTATAGAGGGAAAAAACTAATTAAAAAAAGAACTGATGAAAGGATTTGGGGGAGCAGAAGCAGCGAAGTAACCAAGGTCTCGAGACTCAACAGCTCAACCCTCAAGCTGGGACCCAGATTGGCGCGGACGGGATACAAACGGACCCCCTGGAAGGCTCCGATGGAGGAGGCAAGAGGCGGGATGACACTGAGGGCCTTTTTATTCAAATACAGGAGACGCACCCACGCGGTGAGCAGCAAGAGAGAAAGCGGGAGTGGCCAGTGGGAAGCCAAGGCCGCCTGGGTGGGAGGACACGGCTGAAGATAAATTCAACGCCAGACACACACAGACATCCCTTCCTGCAGAAGAATACTGGCCCATAAGTGATGGGAGACGGAGGGGAAAGCTCAGCTGGGGCTCAGCTTAAGCGCTTGCAGGAGGTTCTTCCAGTGGGGTCACCTTGTGTTCTTCCTTCTCTTCCGTCCCGTTACAAGCAGGTGGGGGGGGGCTTTGGGGCCCTGGAGGCAGCGGCCCCCTCCCTCCATGCGGGCTCCCGGTGCAAACTCAGGTGGTGACCTCTGCAGGGCCTGGCTTGGCCTTGGGAGGAGGGTCTGGCAATACGTCCGATGGCTCTCCGCACTTGGCCGGGGGCTCGCTGCTTTCAGACAGGTAGCCTCCGCTGGGCAGCAGCTCCGTGATGGCGCAGATGTTTTCATAATAGATGGGCTTGAAGGTCTCCACCACGTCTTTGGGGACCCCAGCCCATTCCTGGCAAAGGAAGGACAGGCTGGAAAGACACACGCCTCCCGCCCCACCACCGCCTCCCGCCTCTCTCCCCAGGTGCCCCCGGTTCCCTTCCTGGACTGAGACAGTCCCTCTGCGGGCAGCCTGCCTGCGGGACGAGCAGAGCCCAGCCTGAGCTGCGAAGTGGTCCTCCTGGGCCGCCTTCTCCAGCATAAAGTCACCTGGATTTTTCTGGGAGGCTGAAGCCGAGTCGCATCTGGCAAGCTTTGCTGGACTTACTGAGAAATTGCCTTGATAGGCAGTGAAGAGATCCTCAAACTTCTTGCTGGGGTTGGGGATTCTGGGCATCAAGACCACCCACACTCTGTTGGCGAGGAGATGGGACTCTTACCTCCAGCCCTGCCTCCATGAGCCCACCAGAGCGAGAGAAGGAAGAAGAGGAGGAGGACATAGATCTCTCTCTCTCTGTCTCTCCCTCCCTCTCTCCCTCCCTCTCTCCTTCCCTCCCTCCCTCTCTCCAGCCCTGCCTCAATGATCCCACCAGAGCGAGAGAAGGAAGAAGAGGTGGACATAGATATCTCTCTCTGTCTCTCTCTCTATCTCTCCCTCCCTCGCTTTCTCTCCCTCCCTCCCTCTCTCCAGCCCTGCCTCCATGAGCCCACCAGAGCAAGAGAAGGAAGAAGAGGTGGAGGACAGAGATTTCTCTCTCTCTCTCTCTCTCTGTCTCTCTCCCTCTCCCTCCCTTTCTCTCTCCCTCCCTCTCCCTCCCTCTCTCCAGCCCTGCCTCAATGATCCCACCAGAGCAAGAGAAGGAAGGTGGAGGACATAAATCTCTCTCTGTCTCTCCCTCCCTCCCTCCCTTCCTTCCCCTCCCTCCCTCTCTCCAGCCCTGCCTCAGTGAGCCCACCAGAGCAAGAGAAGGAAGGTGGAGGACATAAATATCTCTCTCTGTCTCTCTCTCTATCCCTCCCTCCCTCCCTTCCTTCCTTCCCCTCCCTCCCTCTCTCCAGCCCTGCCTCAATGAGCCCACCAGAGCGAGAGAAGGAAGAAGAGGTGGACATAGATCTCTCTCTCTGTCTCTCTCTCTATCTCTCCCTCCCTCCCTTCCTTCCCCCCCTCCCTCTCTCCAGCCCTGCCTCAATGAACCCACCATTGCGAGAGAAGGAAGAGGTGAAGGACATAGATCTCTCCCTCTCCCCTCGCTCTCTCCCTTCCTCCCCGCTCCCTCCCCCTCTCCCTCCCTCCCTCCTCCTCCCCCTCTCTCCCTCCCTTCCTTCCTCCCCCCTCTCCCTCCCTCCCTCCCTCCCTCTCTCTGCCAGTGAGCAGGGCTCTGGGGCAAGACGCCTCATTCTCCCCCACCACTGCCCCAGCCCCTTGCCCCAGGTGGAACCAGCCCTGCTTTCCCCACAGCCCTGCTCACCTCTCCATCCGCAGCAAGGCCAGGAGCAGCACAATCAGAATGAGGAAGGAGCCCAGCGGAATCAGAATGGTTCTTGTGGAGGACAGCAAAGAAGGGGGGGCGTCTTCTGCTAAGGAGGAAGCCAGGTGAGGGTCTCCGAGAAGCAGCGGGGCTCCCTCCAAGACCAAGGAGCCGTCCGTCTCGCCACACCTCGCGCCAAAGCAAGCACTTTTAGCTGCTCCTGGAGGTCCTCCGCCAGGGTGAAGATCAGGCGTTCCCCCCCGCATCCCCTGAAGGTCAACAAACCTTTGGCTCTCCAACCACCAGTCAGAGACAGCCCAAAATGTCCAAGAGGTGGGGCTAGCTGGGTCCCAGCAGCCCTGTGCCCACAGGTGAGGAAAGACCCAGCCAGGACTTGTGCATTCCCTATTTGAGTTCGGTTCACCTGGAAGGGATGGCCTATCCGATAGCCTATTGCCACAGGCCTCTATGCCTGCTGTAACAGCCAACAGGTAGGTTAGACACAGGTGGAAGGGACTGAAGGAGCTCCATGGCCCTTTGTGCTGGGCAGTTCCATCCACACCTCCCCCGGCATGGTCTCTCCACCCAGACCCCTGGCTTTATCATGCTAGCCAGACTACTGGAGCCTGGGGAAGGCTCCGATGAGGGCTCTGCATCGGAGGCAGAGAGCGGGCCAGGGCCGTATGCCAGTTATCAGCTGCCTTTGGAGTCAGGCATCAGTGGGGCAGAAGAACAGCTGGAGCCTGTTCCCAGTCTGCGCATGCTCAGAATTGCCAGACGAAGGGACCAGCTAAAGAACAGGGGGCGACTTGGGAGTAACGAATGGGCCCTCCCAGAGGGAATAAAAGAGGAGCGAAAGGGGAGTGGAGTTTGCAGGAGACAATTGGTTCCACTTGGGAGTAAGGCCACAGGTGGACGATGAATGGCCCCTCCCAGAGGAAATAAAAGAGGAGCGAAAGGGGAGTGGAGTTTGCAGGAGACCATTAGTTCCACTTGGGAGTAAGGCCACAGGTGGACGATGAATGGCCCCTCCCAGAGGAAATAAAAGAGGAGCGAAAGGGGAGTGGAGTTTGCAGGAGACCATTAGTTCCACTTGGGAGTAAGGCCACAGGTGGACGATGAATGGCCCCACCCAGAGGAAATAAAAGAGGAGCAAAAGGGGAGTGGAGTTTGCAGGAGACCATCAGTTCGGTTAATTGGTTCCTGACTCTCCGAGACTCCTGGCCAAGGTTTGCATATATCGGCATGG